TTGTCCGCTTTCTGAGAATTCCGGTCTTCAGTGAGTCTTCCGATTCTTAGGTGACAAATCCGGATGAGTCATTTTCAGACTTCCAGGTGAGAAAGAGATCCGCGCTAGTCTTCCGATTTGGATGACTTAGCCTTCAGCGGGTTGTAGCGAGACATCCGGTTCTTATGTAGTCTTCCGGATCTGAGGATTTACATCTGATTGAGAAATCCTTACTTGTCTCTGACATTTCCGAACAAGATATCCAATTTCCATATCACTGAATTTGATTAAGTCTTCAGGCATCAAAACGCTTAAAGAAATATCACAGCTTTTATTGGAAATCTCAAGAGCTCGGTTTTGACAATATTTCTAAAAAGAAAAATTACATTGAATATTGGGGGAGACCTAAAGTCCCTAATACATTCTAAATACATCATCATCAAAATCTATAATATTTTTCCCAACAAACATAATCTTCAGTTCCTTTGTGTCATTGAACCCATTACCTCCAACAGCCAACTTGACAGTTTCAGACTTCATCTTGGCTTTTCAAATGCTATTTGCTCCTCTAATAATAAGAAATGGATTTTCTGGAGCAATGAACACCTTATCCTTACCTCTTACCATGATGAAAACCAAATCACTCACTGCCATTTCACCCACACAGCCACCAACTCACCTATCATTATATCCTCAGTTTATGGTGCCCACTCTATAGCTGACAGGAGAGAACTTTGGAGCAATCTTCAGAATTACAGCAAGCTCAACCACCAATGGATTATTGGGGGAGACTTCAACACCATTGCATCCCTTACTGAATTCAAAGGAAAATGCATCCCAAGCACTCAAGGTATGGAAGATTTTTCAGAATGCATCTCAAACTGTAACTTGATCACTCAGGAACCAAAAGGTGGTTTGTTCACTTGGTCTGGGACTAGAAGCCAAGGAAGGACCTAGAGGAGACTAGACAGAATCCTAACTAATCTTTGTCTTCTAGCTTATTATGATGAAGTCTCCCTAAAGCACCTGTCCAAATTCAACTCAGATCATAAACCCCTTTTGGTACACTGTAGTAAGACCACTCCTACTGGACCGAGGCCTTTTAGATTCCTTAATGCCTGGACCCTGCACGACACCTTCCATTCCATGGTTCAAAAGACTTGGGATAATCTGCCCACCATAGGAGGAATGAGAGGTTTGGCAAATAAACTCTCTAGCCTCAAAGCAGCCATCAAAACCTGGAACAAGGAAACTTTTGGAGACATTTTTTCCCAACTTCAACAAGCAGAAGATAAATCCTTGGAAGCGGAAAAGGAGTTTGAGATTAATCCTTCACAAGAAAATAGAGAAATAATGCAGAAAGCCAATGCAGCCTTGATTTATTCCACAAATCTGGAGGTCCAATATTGGAAGCAAAAGGCAAACATCAGATGGCTGGAAAAGGGAGACTCCAACTCCAAACTCTTTCAGGCATATGTTAAAGGAAAGAGAAAGAAACTCTCTATATCTCATATTATTAAACCAAATGGAGCAGGCACTAGCAACCCCTCAGAGATCAAGGCAGAAGCCATCTCCTTCTTTAAGAACAGCTTCAAGCAGTCCCAACCACCCTCCTTTGAACCAATCCTTCCTCTCATCCCCATGATCATATCCTCAGAAGATAACCTCAGAATCTGTACCATCCCCTCCTTGGATGAATTTAAACAGGCTGTTTGGGATTTAGATGGCAATAGTGCAAGTGGACCTGATGGATTCAATGGAAACTTCTTCAAAGCAACCTGGGAAACTATCAAACAGGATGTTCTCACTGCCTCACAAGAATTCTTCTTGGGGCAACCTATTCCAAGAGCCTATGGAAGCACCTTTTTGACCCTCATCCCTAAAACTGACAACCTAAAGAGATTTGAAGATTATAGGCCAATTTCTCTCTCCACTTTCATGAGCAAAATAAATACCAAATTGCTTGCAAACAGACTCAACACAATTCTGCCCAAACTTATCTCTAAGGAACAAGCAGCTTTTCAAAAAGGTAAATCCATAGATGACCATGTCCTCAGAAGCTGTCCATCTCCTTGACAAAAAGGTGTTTGGGGGTAATCTTATTCTAAAGCTTGACATGGCAAAAGCTTTTGATAAACTTGACTGGGGCTATCTTGAAGCTTTACTTAAAGCTTTTGGTTTCACCAATCTCTCAACAGCTCTTCTAATGGCTAATCTTAAAGGGTCCTTTTTCAGCATTCTTCTCAATGGTGAACCTACGGGATACTTCAAAATGGAGAGGGGGGTCAAACAAGGAGACCCCCTCTCCCCTCTTTTATTCATCCTTGCAGCAGAGGGATTCAGCAGACTCATAAATCAGCAAATGGACTCATCACATCTCCTCAGATTTAACTCAGGACAGGTCAAATTCCCTTCCCACCTTATTTATGCAGATGATATTATGATTTTTTCCAGGGGTGATTCAAGAAACCTCCTCAAACTCAAATTCACACTTGACACATACCTCAAGGCATCAGGACAAGAGATCAACCTAAATAAAAGTAAATTCTACACCTCCAAAAAGACAACCACCTTACAGATTCAACATATGGAGAAGGCTATTGGAATCAGTAGAGGCAAACTCCCTTTCACCTACCTGGGAGCACCTATTTGTCATGGGATTCTAAGAAAAGAACACTGCAAGGACATCCTGGGACATTTTGAGAAACGCATCCACTCCTGGTATAGCAAAACCTTGAACCAAATGGGCAGACTTATCCTTATCAAGCATGTGCTTTCTTCAATCCCATTACACATTCTTGCTGTGCATACCCTTCCTAAATCAATCATCCATACTCTTACCAAGTACATGGCTAATTTCCTCTGGGGACAAAAGGAGGGTGCACAAAAATATCACTGGATAAGGTGGAGCGAACTTACAAAACCTGAGAAAGAGGAGGGTCTTGGAATCAAAAGCTTAGAAGACCAACATCAAGTGTACACTCTCAAGCTCTGGTGGAAGGCAAGAACTGATGTGGGCATATGGGGACCATTCGTGAGAGCAAAATATATGAAAACAGGAAACATAAAGGAGAAGATCACTGACTCTCCCACCTGGAAGAGAATTTGCAGATCAAATGCACTAGCAGACTCCCATACCACTGTCGTTGGTGATGATATGCTTTGGAATGGAGGTACTTTCAATCTCAAAGAAGCCTACAAGGTAGTACATGATAGTGGATCAAACCTACTCTCTTGCAAATACATTTGGCACAGCTCAAACATACCAAAAGTCAGGATTTTCTTGTGGAAACTACTCAATGATGGACTCCCTTTCCCACAAAACCTATGCAGGTTTGCATGCCATCTCCCAAGCCGTTGCCTTTTTTGCCACAACAACAATGATGACATGGATAATAGCTTACTACAATGTCCAACAGCATCCCATGTATGGAACAAGCTTGCAATAATGGCCAATGGACCTAGCGTGAAGAAGGACACCACATTGCGCCAACATCTCCTTGCCTGGTGGTTCGGAAGCAACACCAAACACTTCAAAGGAACCCTTCATCTCATCTTACCAGGACTTTGCACCTGGTCCCTTTGGAAGGCACGTAACTCCAGCATCCACAACGCATCGAACCCAACGGCAGAGGGAATTTTTCAAGCATGCCTCAAATCCCTACAAGCGTGGGCATGGATAAATAGAAACAAAAAATGGATAGTCCAGGATGAAGATTTCAAGGGCTTGGGGATCGATTCATTTTGGCGCAATGGTCGTAGAGTTTTATTCAAATGTGTAGCTTGACTAATTTTCTTTATCCCGCCCATGCCCCCGTGTATCACCTCTCTTTCCTCTTCAATAAAATTTTCTTTCAAATATATATATATATATATATATACATATATATATATATATATATATATATATACATATATATATATATATATGGGAGAGCCAAGCAGCAAAAAAATTTCCAGCCTTTATCTCTTCGTCTACCTCTGCGTTTTTTTCTAGAACCAAGAAGAATGGGAAGGTCTGGGGGAATTGATTATGGTGCGTACACTTACGAGAATCTTGAGAGGGAGCTCTACTGGCCTGCTGAGAAACTCCGTATCTCTATTACTGGAGCTGGAGGGTTTATTGCATCTCACATTGCCCGTCGGCTGAAGAATGAGGGTCACTACATAATTGCTTCTGACTGGAAGAAAAATGAACACATGACGGAAGACATGTTCTGTCATGAGTTTCATCTTGTTGATCTGAGGGTTATGGACAACTGTCTGAAGGTTACTAAAGGAGTTGACCATGTCTTCAATCTCGCTGCTGATATGGGTGGAATGGGTTTCATTCAGTCTAACCACTCAGTTATTATGTAAAACAACACAATGATAAGCTTCAACATGATGGAGGCTTCCAGGATTAATGGGATCAAAAGGTTCTTCTATGCCTCTAGTGCATGCATTTATCCAGAGTTCAAGTAACTAGAGACTAATGTGAATTTGAAGGAATCTGACGCTTGGCCTGCTGAGCCCCAAGACGCGTATGGATTAGAGAAACTTGCAACTGAAGAATTATGCAAGCATTACAACAAAGATTTTGCAATTGAATGCCGTATCAGAAGATTCCACAATATTTATGGTCCATTTGGAACGTGGAAAGGTGGAAGGGAAAAAGCTCCTGCTGCTTTCTGTAGAAAAGCATTAACTTCAACCGATAGGTTTGAAATGTGGGGTGATGGACTTCAAACACGTTCGTTCACTTTCATCGACGAGTGTGTTGAAGGTGTTCTCAGGTTAACAAAGTCAGACTTCAGGGAGCCCGTTAACATTGGAAGTGATGAGATGGTGAGCATGAATGAAATGGCAGAGATGGTTCTCAGCTTTGAGGATAAGAAGCTACCCATTCATCACATTCCTAACCCAGAAGGCGTGCGTGGTCGAAATTCTGACAATACCCTCATAAAAGAGAAACTTGGCTGGGCCCCAATAATGAGATTGAAGGAAGAGTTGAGGATTGCGTACTTTGGGATAAAGGACCAAATTGAGAAAGAGAAGGCTCAACGTACTGATGTTTCTAGATATGGATCTTCTAAGGTGGTGGGGACCCAAGCTCCGGTGCAACTTGGGTCCCTCCGTGCCGCTGATGGCAAGGAATGATTGCCTCCCCCCTCCCCACCCCACCCCACCCCTCCACATTTGTGCTAATAAGTTGAAGCCAAGGTTTGGTACAACGGCCACGTCTTCTATATATAGACATTATGGAGATACGTTA